CCTAAGATGAGTGCAAAATCTGATTAGGTAGAAACAAAATCTATTTCTGTATAGTAAGTAATATCTAGTATTAGAAGTTCCTGTTGGCTTAAAAGTAGATGATAGTTAGAGAGTTTAAATAGGTATTCTTATAGTTGGGTACAGGTATAGCAAATAGTGTAGAACCTTCAAATAAATACTTAAATTAAAGTATATATATAGCCTTACTGTAATTGAAATTAAACTTTTTAATAAAATATTCTCTGGCCTAAAAGGTCACCTTAATACCAAAAAAAAAAAATTGATTTAATAGCTTTTTTTAAACTATTTTTTTGCTATAAAAAATTTTGCTATATTATTATTATTAAAAACTATTAAGCTAATTATTATAGAAAGTTGTATTTTATAGAGGTGTGGCAACTTAGTGTAGTTGGTTAGTTGTCACCCTCTCAAGTGGCAGGTCTAGAGTTCAAATCTCACAGATAATGATTTTGAAAATTATAGTTAACAGTTGTCAATTATTGGTTGGATCTTAATCTGTAATTTCAATCACACCATCTAGTAATGGGAGCTTTGGCACAATAAATCCGAGGAACAGGAATAACCAAAAACCCATTTGGCAAGTCCCGAGTTGGGATGTAGCAATGATCTTTGACAGTACTACAGGAGGGCTAAATTCAAACCGGGGCCTGAGATCGGAGAACCAAGTGACCAGGTTCTATGGTGGAGGACATACCAGCTGAACTGCCAGGTTGTTGCACCAGAGGAAAAGGCATACACTCCAAAAGTATGGACCAAGGAGAGGGCGTCCTTCAGACACCTAAAGCCTGGGCAGACCGACCCATTTGAGTTGCCAGCTAGAAGTAAGGGAGTGACTGATAGAGAATCCGGATAAAGAAATAGTTCCAAATATGGGTACTGGGTTGTTGTGAATCTTACATGGGCAAGGAGTACGTAATGAGCGACTAATTAGGAAGGTTGTGACTTGAGATATGGATCGGGTTACAGCAGCACCCCAAAGGTTGGCTTGAAATACGAACCCGGTGATGGCAGCACAACAGGTACTAGTTAGAAAGAAATTACCGAACATACAGGTAAAAACATGTGTGGAACATGGACTGCCTGTTAGGTTTACTTTGTAGATAGATTAGCCATATATAGTTAGTTAGGGGATTGATAAATCCAAAATAGTTAGTAAGTTCTAAAGTAGGGTGTGAAATCTATAGGTGTCGCAAAAGCTACTATCGAATAGTGAGTTACACCTTAGTTAGATGTAATGTAACTAGTGGTTGTAACCAAAGAATTTAAATGAGTACCCCCTAGTTAGGGTATAGGTACGGCAAATAGTGTAGAACCTTCAGGCAGACTACTTAAATAGGCACTCAAAAGGTGCACGTGTGGCTTGATGTATCTTCGTTATAATTGTAAAATGTTATATATTCACTTAATAAAAAGTTTTCAGGCCATAGAGATTATTTTAATACCAAAAAAAAAAAAAAAAGTTGTATTTTATCAAAGTAGTATATGAATTTTTTTTTATATTGTATATTTTCTTTTTAGCTTTTTATTTATTTTAAAAAGAACCTTTTGGATCTGGAAAGCTTATTATTAGAAGTTTAATTTTAGTTATAGTAAGAGTATATCAAGTAATATATGCACTTTTAGTATCTAATTTAAGTAGTTCACTCAAAGGTTCTACACTATTTGCCATATCTGTATTCCAACTACAAAGATATCCATTTAAACTCTCTAACTATAATCTAATTCCAAGCTAATAAGAACTTCTAACTTGCAGATGTATATTATATACAGGTATCACACTTTTTACTATTAGATTAATCTCTCTATTAATTTTATACATTTTTGATTTTTTTTATTCAATCCAAGTGTTACATGAATACTTTCAGAATCTTCTAGTGCACTAGTAGTACTAGTGTGGTTAGAGTTACAAGTAGTAGAATATAACTTATAGATAAAAGCCTGTTACTATAATATAAGTAGTTTTGTTCAAATTGTTACTAGTAGAATTCAAACTTGGTACTTTATTTACTGGGGTGCAACAACTCAACCACTATACTATATTGCCATACTCTTTTTTTTAGCTTTTTCAATTAATAGATAATATAAATTTTATTAAAAATTATTAATACATATAAGTTTTTAAAAATGCGATAAATATAAAAATATCTAAGCACTATCTTTTTTGCAAAGTCTTACAATTTCAATTGCTATTGAGTTTGTATATAATTTATTAATGTTGTTTTCTAATTTTGGCAATTGATTTGAAGACTTATAATTACATTAAGTTTTATTTATATATTTTTATCTTTAATATTAATATAAGTTTTATAAATAACTCTTTAAGACCTTTAGTCATTTATATTCTGTTCTTGAAGTTACATGTTTTTTTTTCAAACTTGTTTTACTATTTGACTAGGTAAACTATAATTTTATAAAATATTTAAGTACTTGTTATTTATATACTGTTATTTTAATAAATATTATTATAAATAATTAACATATTGTATTATATTTTTAGTCAAATTTTTTTTAGTAAATCTATACATAGCTGATTTTGGTGGTCATGCTAGATTTGTGAAGTAAACTAATTTCTGTAGACCAAATATATTAAGATCATGCTTAAAGATCAATAAAGATTATTCATCTATTTAATTAAATACAGCATCATTAAATCACTTTTAAGGATTATTTAAATTAGTATTGTTTACTGGAACTGGAAAATTACTGGACTTAACTAGATGAAATTGGAAGCATAATAGCTTCCAGTAATCGAATGTCACTGGATCATACTGGTGAAGATTTTTATTACTGGAATGGAAGTTCCAATGACATCTAGTAATCTCCAGTGGCTTCTGATTGGCTTATTCAAACCAATCACTGAAGACAGTGAGCAGATATTAAACTGGCATAAAATTTAAGCTCTGAGCACCTACCTGTTTACATGAATATTACGGATCACAAACAGGATCATTTCTAATAACCGGAGTAATTTGAATAATCCAGTATAGATCATGCAAAATGTTAGACCTTGTTAACAAATAAAGAATTATTGTGAAATCAGAAATGAGCTGGAAAAAGGAACGAAAATGACAATTGTTTCAACCAAATTTTTTTTACATAAATTTTTAGAATAAGATTAGGATCTTTTTTTACTTAAGACACACAAGTAGTTGTGTTAGCAGTATAGCTCATTAAAGTTTGTATTTTCTTATAATCTATTATAAGATTTATAACACAAAAATTGATTTTCCGAAGATCCTTTGTTCAATTTCGATAGCACCTAGCCCATATTATCATAATAAGATATGAACAAAGAAAGAATCATTATGATAGAATCTTAATTAGTATCAAAGACGGGTTGGGAAGTAAATTGAATATATTGCATTGAATAGTCAGAAACTCAGGAATATAATTAGTTGCCAACTAATTTGATTGACCAATAATCCCGTTTAGATTTAGCCAATCAGGTGAATACGTTCCAGTGGGATTTCTCACTGGAACCACTGGAATGCTGGAAGAATCTGGACGTCCAATGGGGTTCCAGGCTTCCAGTGACAACACTGACTTAAATTATTTATTAAGACGCTAGCGTCACCAACTTAAAAATTTCGCTGAACAAAAATTTACAAACTATTATGGAGATACACAGTATTAAAATTAGGGTTAGGGTTTGCGATTAAGTTTGATTTTAAATTAAGTTTTACTGATACCAAAATTTCTCAAGGAAACTTTTTATTAGTGCGCAGAAAGCATTTCATAGATAAAATGTTGAATTATGAACGATTTTTGTGGTTTCTTCTTCGTTACACCTGAACTTGAAGTCTGTTTGGCCGGCGAAATAATAGTGAAATTTTTTAAAGTGGTTGATAGTGTCGGCTATAAAAAATGTACAGTAGTTAACGTGATAGATAATTATAAGATATCTTTACGGTTAATATTGAGTAGTGTTATTATTGAACTTTTTTTTTTTTTGTGAGAGTTAAAGATATAGTAAAAAATTTTTGAAAGTTTTTTGTTTGTTATAATAGACAATTCAGTTGACTTTAACAAATATTAAAAGTTTATTCATTTTGATTAATTATTAGAACATATCAAAATAGGTTACAATACATCTAACGGTAAACTATAGATATATATTATGAAGTTTTATTGTTGATTATCGTGCAATCTCTTATGTTCATAAATTTTTTCTTGTTATTTTTTGTACGTTATTACATAAGCACAACAATCTCGAATTAAACTCAGTTAGCCAATAATGACTTGTAAATCATGATCATAATTGCACGATAACATCGATATTGGATCATGCGATGATAAAATACCATAAAATTTGTTCTGCCGATTGGCTGAAATGTGCCGCTGCGCGACACATGTTAGCCAACCATTTGCTCCGACAAAACAAATTTATGACATTAATTGTTGCATGACCAATATCTTATAAATATTAGCAGAATTATAATGATCTTAATTTGACGCATAACATATACAAGTCATTTTAATTATAGTGATCTTTAGACATAGTTAAGATTAATTAAAATCTTATATAGTGAAGTTAGATTCAAAATTATTTGTGTTATACGTATTTTATAGTGAATTTACTAATAAAGCTCTCGATATAGTGAATTTTTTTAATTAACAAACCCAATTACTTCATTATAACAAGAGCAACATGACATATAATTAAAATTTTATTTTTATTTTAGTATATAATTAAAATCGATAAAATTTACAAAGAAATCGATGAATGAATGATTAACTAAAATCAACAAAGAGAGAATGTAAAAATATATATAATAAATATGATAAAATATTAATAAAATACAGCCTTTAAATATAGATTTATAAATCTAGTACTAGTGTTAAAAAAGTTTTTAAAAAACGATTAGAAATCGATTGTAGCCAACTAATAGATTAGTTGGTATATCGAAATGGCTTGGATATAATTGCATAGCCACGAATTACAAGATCAAAGTATGATACCGTATAAAACAACTAGTCGATTAGTCAACATCCGATTTTTGATTTGGAACATCCGGTGCTTCATCATCCTGTGCATCTCTATCCAGTACTTCGGAAATTAATTCATCTAAATTTTCGGTTATTGTGACATAAATAGCTACACATGTAAGAAAAATTTTTATCCATAAGGAATCCGGTGCAGCAATTGTGCAAAATAAAAATTGTGAACAAATTCCAACTACTTTTACTATTAAAATATAAATATTTATATAGATAGATAGATTAATAAAAATAAATATGGTTCAAATAGATTATCAAATAGACTAAGTTAACAAACCTGTCACCGATCTAATTCTAACGTTACTGTGAATATGTTCAATAAGTTTCCTATTTTTTATATTCAACCTTTTTCCAGATTGCATATATTCTAATGACTCGATACGTTTTTCTAAATCATTTTCAACAATTTTATAATATGAAGCACAAATTATTTCAATTAATGAATATACTATGAAAAGAATTGAGGGAAACAAAATAACCACAAAAGCTAAATGATAAACATAATGACGATTATAAGCCATAATAAAAAAGACTAAGTTTACAATAAATGAAAAAAATGCGATGATTTGGACCACAAAAGAATAAGACTTATGGACGCTTTTGTCTAATACCGAATTCATCCATTTTAGAAACTTATAGGATTGCCCAGAGCCTTGTTTATGAGTTTTTAAATGATGTTCATTATGTAAATGTACAATTGCAGTAAATGCACGGACCGAAAAATAAAAACTAGTAGGGATACTAAATAATGTAATAACTGAATATGTGATAAGATATTGAATAAAAAAATAGTCATTGGTTAAACCATATGCCCTTATAATAAAAAAATAAGACAATGCATACACAAAAAGCTGCAACAGAAAATTAAAAATTACAGCTGTAATTCTTGAAGGGATTTTTTCGGCTACCAAATAAATAATGATAACAAACATTAAATCAAAAACATTTTCAACTCCTTCTTTGGTTGGTTTTAAAATTTCTGATTCAAAGTCAAGTTTAGAACTATTAGAATTAGAACTACTAGAATCCGTATCTTGAGAACTAACCAAAATAAAATTAATGAACAAAATTATTATTAAAATCAGAAGTTTCGACATTTTTTTTCGATGACTGGCTAAAAAATGAGATGGGTTTTTATAACAATTATATATATTGTGTACCAGATATATTCTTGAGTTAGATGGCGTACATACATAACTATATTTACATAAAATCTTCTAAATAAAAATGGTTCGAAATAGAAAAAGAAAATAAATAAATATGATTTATAAAAACAGTTTAAAACATTACTATAATAAATCTTTTTATATAAAATTAAAACTTTATAATCTGATATTGTTTAATATACAGTATTAGGAGGTTTCAGAATTAACTTTTTTTCAAAATAAGTGAGAGTTTAAAAGGACCTATTTTCTTTTTTAAAATTCCGAATCAGAAAGTTAAATAGGCATAGCCGGTAATAAAATTGGTTTTTTTTTTGATAAACATTCATCGGTAAACGATTATGTAAATAAGTACATACTTTAAAAAAAAATAGGATTTGTACGTTGCTTATTTTACGCCGCTTATTTTATCTGAAATCGGACGCTGAATCATTAATTATGAAACCCCCTATTAGGGCGTTTCAAAGTTAAAATCAGAGAATATTACTTTATTTTTCCGATTTATAATTCAACATAGTAAAAATACTACTGAAAAAATCCTATTTATTTTCGATTTGTCATTTATTTGTTAACTTTGAAAACCCAATTACAAATCGCATTTTGCCTCTATAAATTGTAAATGTGGTTTTAGGTACAGTACGTACAATACAAGCGTACTGTACATATCTCAAGTATCCTTGCATGTAAAACATGTACTAAGCAGATGCGCGCAGTGGCTAAGCAGTGTGTAATATAGGAATATATAGTTAGCAAATAGTGAAATGAAATATTCTAATTTTATTGACTAATTCTAGTATAACTTGATCATATGTTGCATTACAGATTATTACGATCTAAAAACCACAATTTTTATAGAGTTAACGTAATCAAATATCACATTAATATTTTAATGGTGATGGTGTTCATAAAGATAAATCTTAAATTATCGACTTCAATAAAGAGGCACTTTATTGATGTTATTACATATAATAATTTAGGAATTTGATTTCAACGTTATAAAAGTTCTATTTTAAAAGTCGTACTACTAATGCTGTTGTACCTAATACTGCGACCCAAACTATTTTTTGGCAGTAATTTCCGAAAAGAACAATTGCAGCTTTAAATGCTGGTAACAATTTCAGACACAACATGTACTTTTTAAGCAATTCCGTATTTAGACCCAGTAATGAAACGTATTTATAAAAAAAAATTTTTTTAAATTATTATGTATAAGCTATATGAAGAAATCAATAAACACATTTTTAATGAAACTCATGTAAGTACGCCAAATGTACTACGTAAGTTTAAAATTTTCAATCTTTTTTATAGAGATAATTTGTCGTAGCTGAGCGAACTTTTAAGCTTACTTTACGGAATTTTCGAAATATTCAGTTCATGGTTCAATTAATCCTAATTTAGATTCAGTAACCAAAATATTGAATCTAATCTAGGTTCGAGTTTTGGTTATTGAATTTATAGATTTTGATTAATTTCTAAAAACTTGAATGTAAGATATTAGGGAGGTAACCAACCACATCCAAATTTTTATTAATCAATTGAATCACTCTTATTGTAGAGAACCAAATCCGGGTTGAAAATAAAATTCAGCCATAGAATTTCATATTAGAAAAATTAAATTAAAAATAATAATAGATTATGCAGGTTCATACATATGAACATATGGTGAGAAATCTGATGCAGAAAATCAATGCAGAAATGATACGCCAACAAAAATTATTTCCTCAAAATAAATAAATTATTATCGGGAACAATTTATATTTTAGATATTAAGGTTTATGTATCAGGTAGGTTACTCGCATACTCGATTGAAATTAATAATTTAGGATATATTGACTTCTAATTTTTTTTATAGATCGACAATTAAGTTATCCAGACAAGGAATAACATCTATGTGATTGGCTGATTAATTAACATATGATTAAAAAATCCACTTACAGTCAGACCTCTCTAAGTGCACGCCCTTGAGACCACATTTCAATAACGTGCATATAGAGAATAATAGGAAAAGGCGCATTTATATAGGTCAAGTATATATTTGGGGCGTGCATTTAGAGAGTGTGTGCACTTATAGGGGGGTGCACTTAGAGAGGTCTGACTGTATTTGGTTACTGTAATCAAATACATACATATAAGCATATAAGTACGTATATACGTACGTATAAGTACGTCATAAAAACAATTGTGATAGAGTGTCAAGTGATAGAAAGATAGCCACACGACCCTTCGCCTCAAAACTCGGGTGGATCAGTGGTAGCAAGAAACTATCCTCGGTCCCGTGACTTCCGAGCAATGTTTAGAGTTCTGTAGATTATGAGATATCGGAGAATTATCAGTGAAAGTTATAGCTTAATTTTATGTGTGATATTCTGAGTTTTTATTGGATATATTTTGCTCGGAAATCACGGGACCGAGGATAGTTTTTGCCGCCACTGATCCACCATCACAAGCAAGAACAATGCATGTGAGAATCAGAAGATAATGCAGACTAGGGAGATGGCGTAGGAATAAAGACAAAACAATATACGTCAATGGTATGTATGGAATAAAGAATAAGGAATTGGAAGGCATTAAGTATAGTATAATAATTGGTTGCAATAACCCGAATTATGCTCGGCATGTCTGAAATATAATGTTAAAAATTCTTTAAAAGTTCATTGATGTTAGGGCTAGTGTTTATATCGTCATATGTCAGCAAATTAGAAAGTAAATCGCTTAAGGAAAATCTTTTGCTAGAGCACCAAAAGTGGTTTTTTATCGCGGATTTTTGAGAAATAGGTAAAACGGACGTTTTGAATTTTCTTGATCGTGTTACATTACACTTGATCTTTTAAATCTGATTTATAGTTCAGGAAATCTGCGCAACCTGGCATACTTTTCAGACATGCTTAAGCTTAACTTGGGCCAAAACTTGAAATTACACCATGCTCGTTATTTCGTGACTATACGAACATATAAATAATTTGAAAGATGTATTTGTAATATAATTGAGTGTTGAAAGAAAATTTGTTTAGCTAAAGTTTATCTAATTTTACATGAACTACAGTATATATTAAGTAATTACAACTAAATGCAAGCAACGCTAAATAATTTTTGTTACATCTTTATAAATAATTAATAAGACTTACTTTATGGTCTATATTACAAATTTCTGCCATGCATGCCTCTGTGTATAATTTTTCTTTTTTACAATATCGTACGTACTAAGATAATTTTGTCTTCAATTGCTACATTTTTAAGTGTTGTTACTTATTTTGTATCGTTTTTATTTATCTTTTCTCATCACTTCATTCCTTTATAAACATTTCCACATTAATTCATTTTATAAGTTTAAACATTATTTTGTGATCATCCAATCCAATTTCATCGCTAATTTCATTTTTACAATGCAAATTAAATGCAACTGGTGTCATGGTTCGATTTGTTACCCGGGATTTCGTGGTGCCGAGGTTTGATCAGGATCGGGTTATATTGATGGCGTGATCGGAATTTGCATAATGCATGATTTAATTTAAAGTCTAATGTGTGTAATCGGATATATTATTATCCGGATAGAATCTTGTAATATTTAAAGCGAGCATTGAATAATAATTAAGGTTTTAGTTTTGGCATTAGCAAAACAAACGCTCTAACATATACACTAAGTGGTCGTCCCTTGCAGTTATTAAAGTATCGAATTGGACGGTGGAGTACCTGTCGATACTCCAGTTATCGTATATATTAGCCAAGCGAGTGAAGGCTGATAGTAAAAGTTAACGAATACACGGTAGTCCGTAACACTGGTAACCTAAAAATACATATAAAGGAAAGGCATCGATAGTGGAATAATTTTTCATGACGTATATAAACCCTCTTTAAAACAATCAATATGATAATTAAGGTTTATCTGCATAATTGCCACATGCATAGTAATTTATAGCTGTTTTTGAAAAGATGTAACCAGGTGCAAGCAGTGTTTAAAAGTAGATGTTCTCAGAGTTCTCATGAGAACACTACTATTAATTTGTATACAGTATAAATTTTTTACTATTCACTATTAAAATTTTTTGGAACAGTAAATTAATATTTGTGTTTTTAGTTATAAGTATATAATAAGTAGCTGCAGATTTAAATGAAAAAAGTGCTTCATATTGTAAATTGCAAATTTGATTTTAATTAGTATTGGTATAAATGGTATAAATCACATATTTAGCACAAATTTTATGCTGAAAATTTATACTATATTTTGTGTAATAATGATCATAAGCATTATTTCAAAAATCATGCCTCCTAAAATAATATATATAGTTTTAAAATAATGCTCATGCACATCCCAAAATAATATGCACCCATAGTAAAGGATGTTTATTTAGAAACTGGATTTAGTACTAAGTAAATCTTCGAACTTCAACTAAAGTTGTTTTTTAAAACAATTTTGTTAAAGCTCAAAGAAAGGGTTACTTAGTACTAAACCTAGTATTTTGGTTGTTTACTTTTATACAAAAACTACATGAATTTTTTAATTGCCTCAAAATAATGCTCATGTGCGTACTTGAAATAATACACAGGTAAGTATTATTATATGAAATATGATATATACTATTTTTTTTATGTATTGTTGAGTGCTGCTTTTTTTTTTTTATGAATATAAAATATAAGTTTAAGTACATCTATAGTTATTATACTGTTCTTATAAGAATAGTATTTGGATCTGAAATTTCAAACACTAAGTGCAAACTACCATATTATAGGAAAATTACTTGATTTTCTTGATTTCTTAAATAAGAGAAATCAAGCATTTTTTATGATATAATAGACTCAGGACATGTCCCTTTCATTGTTGTTTATAAGTAAAATTTTTAAAAAAATATATAAATTTACTATGTAACTTTGAGCTAAGATCCTTTTAAATCTAACTTATTAACTTTAAATTAAATTTTTGAGAAATATAGAACAAGGGGAGAAGAAAAAATTGAGCTTAAAAATTAAATTAAAATTTTGCTAATTTTGTACAAAATGAAAATCTAACTTTTTCAAAATCAAGTATTTTTCAATTTTAAAATGACGAATATACTGTATGTAAAACCATGCTCTGAATAATTTTACTTAGAAGATGAAAGTAGGTTACCTTGATAGAAAAATGAGTTAGTTATGTACTAAAGTAAAAATTCCAGTTTTTCTATATGCAACTTTTTTTTTACTTATGTAATCTGCTTTCATCTTCTAAGTAAAGTTGTTCAGCATAAAATTTTACATTTATATAATTTATTTATTTTTGTTTTCTCGAACCTTTTACTAAGTGAAAAATGGGGTTAAAGTTAGAAAAATTTTTTTTTTTTTTTTTTTTATAAGAGAAGTCTACCCTCATTTCCTTTATTTACTTGTAATAGTTTATAACTAAACATTAATTAGTATTACATTTTTACAGAAGTGGGTATCAGGTTACATAATCCCAGACCTAATCTTAGCTAGATAGGTCACAACCTCTAGACTATTTTTAGTATGTTATTGTAATTACTATAGCTATTTACAAAGTCCTTGCTCCATTTATCTATATATTTTTTCTATTTGACAAAGTGTTTTTATTTATATTTTTTATATTATTTAGGACAATATTTTGGTTAATTTCAAAAATCTGATCGTCTTGAGACTCAATTTTACTCAGTCTCCAGATTTTATCTTTTATCTTTATGATTATCTTATGTTGTAATTTATTGGTCACTTTGTTCGCTATTCTTTTTTCACTATTTAGGAATTTTATTTTCTTTGTTATTACCCCAATCGGGACTTTCTTTTTCAAATGTATTTCTTTGAAATTTGCTATAAATTCTTTTGTCTTATTGGCTTCACTTTTTCTTCTATTTCAGTCTCTTTTATTGACTCGTATATGACATCTTTTATTTTGACTATATTTTTATCACATAATAACCAATGGGCGTTGTCTTCAATTTTGTTATGACATCTTCTACATTCTGGGCTGATATACTTGTGCTTATCCTGTATATATAAATTCTTAAAATTTGGTAATTCTACTATTAATAGCTTGACTTTAAAATTCTTTACGCTTGATTCTTTAGGGTTGGTATATCTGGATAGTGGTTTATCATTTCTATTCATATTTTCAAATGTCTTTCTTCATAATATTTGTAGATCCTTATTATACTAGCTTTCAATTCTTTTGTGTTCAAACCATTTTATCATATTTATAGCTTTACAGGTTGTTTTAATTGTTAATTTGATACTATCCATCAATATATTATTCTGGTATGTTGGTATATAGTAATTTCAAATTAATTTTTGTAGTAGTAGTGTTAAACCTTGAATGTCATTATTTATCTCTATCTTTTCTTTTGTGTCCTTTTTAATTGATACTAACTTTATACTCTTTCTATTTACTATTATCTTTATCATGAACTATAAGCTTGCATGTGATTCTTTTCTTACATATTCAATTTGCAGCTGTTTGTCATTATATATTTTCTCAATTGTTTTTTCCAACGATCTAGCATTCAACATTTTTTTTATGTTTGATTTTCTATCTAATATTGTTGCAATGACAATTAGTGCTATTAACAGAATGTTCTTGGGAGATACCCATTGCTCGTTTCTTATCCTCATTATCACTTGATTATCTATGTCCTTAATTATAGCTACCGGTACAGATATTTGTTTTATCTTATCTCTAAATATTATTATATCAAGCAATATCAATATCTTTTCCGTTTCATTCTTGTAAGTATCATTAAACTTTCTATGTTCTTTCCTTATCCATTTTTCCACTTCTTCAAAAGCAGATTCTAATTCTGATTGAAATATCATATGAGCATTAAGACATATACTACTACTATTATGTGTGCTTTTTATTGGTCTTGGTTTCTCTATAAATTTGTCGATTGTTCTGTGCCAGATCTTTTTTGAGTCTACTTTAATGGAGTAAAGACTTCTTTCTTTTCTTATAAAGGTACATAATGACTTTCTACCAGTTTGCTTGTGTAAGGCACATCCTTTACATCAGGATAGTTGATTTGTCTCTTCATTTAACACCCAGTGATATACTTTTCTGGATTCTCCTTTTACTTTCGATATCTTACTGAATTCTCTATTACTAGATATTACCCATTTCGAAAACTGGTTTTCTTTATTCCATATGTATGAATTATGATCTTTGAGATCATATATTTCGTTAATCTGTACTATTTCTTCTAAGTTTAATTCTATAAACCATCTAGGTGTTCTGCCTCTTGGTATTTTATTTATATTATGATATAATTGTTTTCAACTTGTCCAACCTGAGTTGTTATAGTTAAGTAACTGCTTAATTGCGTAAATCTTGTGTTAATTTAGGTCTTTTTTCTTATTATTACTATCTTTCTTTAATTTTAACCATGCATTTATCGATGTACTTTCCAATTTTATTAAAACTGGCCAATTATTTAATTGTCTCTAGAAGCTTATTTTCAATTTATAACTGTTCATTATTATCTGTGCAAAAAACATCTTAATTTTTATACTTGGAAATACTGGTTCTACTTCCAATATTGACCTATTTGTTGTTGCATCATCTTGTAATTGTTGTAGACGTATCTTCCAAGAAGGCATTTTCTCATACATATTTAGCATTGTCTCTAATATGTATATATAGTGTTTCTGTTAAGATTGCTCCACCTTATTTAAACTGTAGATATTAGGGTTCCATAACGTATCATTCGGCATTCCTTTAGCTAAAATCGCTTTCGTTTTAACAATGCTAGTGTAGCTATTGGATATTTTCTCACAGCAGTTTTTACTTAAACTAATATTCATTAGTTTGTATCTTAGTCTTGCTAACATTACGGTATTAATAATATATATAGCTTGTTTTTCCGTAATCTTGCTATATTTTAATTTCATTATATCCTGCATGTATTCGTTGATGACTTTCTGTCTTGCATGTCTATTGCTATTATACCTGTCAATATTCGTTCCTAAAAATCTTACCACCTCAGTTTTCTCTATATTGTATATCAATTTATTTTTGAAGAATATCTCATCTATGTTGTTCTTATTATTGTGTATTAATGCAGATTTTGATAGATTGACTTTGATTTGAGCTAGGTCAAAGAAGAATGATGCTATTTTTAGTATTTTCTTTATTTTCTTTCTATTTGGTGCTACCCATGTTGTATTGTCCATGTAGGCAATAACCGACATAGTTTGTTGTTCATGCACTTTCATCAGTGGTGATACTGTTTCTGTAACATATCCTAATTTTGACTCTTGTATTCTCTTGATTAACGGGTTGTAATTTATTCTTCATAATATTGGTGATAGTGTACCTCCCTGGTCTAATCCATCTTCTACATTATACTGTGATGTTTTACCCAGTTCAGTTATTACTTGATTTTTCCTTCCAGTTAGTATATTAATTAATAATTTTGTAATTTTCTTATTCATACCAATTCTTCTTAGTGCTTTCTCTAATAAGGGTATGTGTACACGATTATATGCTTTTGATATATCCTGTGCTAATATCCATAATTCTTTTTTGTTTATTTTGGCATCTTCTTGTATGTGATTTAATTGTTGGGTTGGAAATAATATTTGGAAAAAAGGTACTGCTATATTATTAGTATTGGATAGTATGTTATTATATTTGATTAAGATATCACTTATTAGGGTTCCTAGGTTCAGTTCAGTTCAAATTTAGGTTCAATGAACCTGAACTGAACCTGAACCTGAACCACAAAT